AATGGAAAGCAAGATTGGAAGGCATGCCCAAGTGGAGAAAACAAGTTTTCCTTGGCCGTCAATGACTGTACTGGTGGTACTGGTATTGCTTTGCTTGTTGTTTAATTCCAAGCATAATATTTTACATTCATTCGCATATCACTTTCCTTCATATCAGCTGACCATGATTAGCATAATTGTTTTCAATAAAAGTGTTTAAAGTACTGACCAAACAATAGTCTCAAATTTAAGAAAAGAACTCTCAAGTTACCCCTAATGATCAACATGTTTATGATTCTTGTTTTAAATCTTAATTCAATTTGTCTTTTTGCAGCCGACTCACACCAGTGCACCCAGATCCATCGAAGGGTATAGAATCCAGATTGAGAAACGATACGCTTATTCTCAACAGATGGTTGTACACAATCCTAACAACTGGTAAGTTACATGCAACTACCACTTCCTCACAAATGCTAACATAGGCACTGGGTCGACAAGAATTGTCTTCCTTGGACGAAGGAATATTTCCAGGAAAACGTAGTAAATACCTCGGCCGAGTCCGGTGATTTAAAGTTTGTTCTTGACAATGTAGTTTCGATTTCTGGTGACTGTGATGTCACCCAGAGAAAGGGGAAGGTTTTGTGTATATATGACATGAAACTTGAATTTTCCATTGCTGGAACCTCGGCAAGTGAAGAGGACAAGTTTCTGGCGACTATCGTAGTCCCGGAATTTGTTCATGACCAAGACGAAGACGACTATGTTTTCGAGATAGATAGTTCCGACCACAAGTCGGAAATCCTTCGAGTGTTTGTTCCGGAATTGAAACAGAAATTAATCAAGTTTCAAAGCGACTTGATCAAGGCACACGAAAGAGACGTTCAGCACGCCACAGATTAAAAAGGCTAAGCTTGAACAATTGCTCAGCCGATCAAATACGCTTGAGCGACTAAATAGACCTGTTTATATTATAATTTATAGTATCAAACTATTCACCCATCAAACCCTTCCGGTACACCCTTGGCATGTCTAACTTCACCGTCCCTAGATCCGAGGTAGATTTCCGCAGAGCCAAAGTCGTTGTACCCTCGTTCTATAGAGTACCAAGGAATAGTACCCGTTTCCATCTGTTTCAATAACTTGTAAACCTCCACTGTGCTGTAGGGCACCCCAAGAGCCGGATCAAAGTATCGAACTTCAGCACCGGAAATGAGACAAGCCTTTTTGTTTCCATTGGGCAAGTAGAGACCACTGGGAGCCTCGGTATTCAACACAATTTCAGCAGTTTCTTCCTCCATTTCGTCTTCATCGTCTTCATAAATCATTTCTGTTACTCCTAGCTTGGGCAACTTTTTAAGTTCATCAAACCGAGAATCTTCCTCTGTCAATTCGGTCGCTGGCTCCAAGAGCTCATCTCGTTCATCTTTCACCACGGCGTAAGGATTCACCGCCTGACCAATTCGTACAATTGTTTCTAAATCACGGTATCTTCTCGAAGCTGGCAAAAGAGACTGCTCGCCAAAAAGGTATGCTTTAAGCTTGACATTGTCAATCTTTTCGTCCAATTCAAGGAAATAAATCATGTTTCGAGCTATGCGCTGAACAGGACCTTCAAAGACCTCGGCACCTTCTTCAGGCGTTCCCTCTTTGTCCATTGCCGAACCCTCGTTGTCGGCAAATTTGACTTGCTTACTGGAAGGAGTAGGGCTCTTATTTGTGGTTTCTTCTGGAACATGCGTATTATTTTCCTCTGGTCTGTTTCCATTAAGAGTCTCCACAACATCCTCACCCTTGATATCGGTAACAGGTTCATTGTTTGACTCAGCCGTACTCTTTGACTCGTCCGTACTCTTTGGCTCGTCTGTTGATGGTATAACTTTTTCAGAAACATTTTGCTCCTGATTGGGAGGTTCTGGTTTGGTCTTTTCGGCTACTATGGACTCTTTATTCTCCTTCATTTCTTTGGCATCTTCCAGAATATCAGCTTTTTCTGGCTGCTCCACACTGATCTTTTCAGTGCTTTCTGCAACCGGTTCACCTTCTTTCCGCTCAGAAGATTCATCCACAGAAACGACATCCTTTTTATCGGCATTCTTTTCACAGTCGTACTTTTCTGCCTTTTTTCGCAAATCTTCCTCCAACTTTAGTCGCTTTTCCCACATCTCTCGTCTATAGTATGGCAAATCAGGATCAATGTCACCAGGTAAACGCTCTCTCCTCTCTTCACGCTCCTTTCTTTTGCGTCCAGGTTTCTTCTTCAGCCGTCCGTTGATGTAGTCATGTACATAGCGAGCCTCTTCGACTTCTTCAGTAGGAGTTACAAAAGACTCCTGACTCACCAAACGAATGATATTTCGAAGCCTCTTCCGCCTCAGAAGCAAAAGTTGGCGCTGCATTTCTTTTTTTTGGAGTTCTTGGTCCATGAATTCGTTAAGCGACTTGACATTTACTCGTTCGGTTTCCACTGCTTCAAGAAGCCGTTCTTCTTGTGTGAGCTCGACGTATTTGGGACGAACCACCGGTGCCATTGCAGCACGTCTTTTTTCGTCCTTTTTCAACTTTTGCACCAACGCTTGTTTGCTTTCGATGGCAGAGGCTCGCGAGGAAGATCTCTGTGATCGCATGAGCGATTCGGACGCCGTCAATTGCTTCTTTGGTTTAGGCTTGGGTGGTGCAGGTTTGAGCTTCTTGATAGCAGGTACCACCGTCTTGGCTCGTCGCTGTCTACGTTTCTTGAGTTTTTCCTGGTTTTCTAGTTCTTTTTCTCCTTCACTTTCGTCTGTGTCAGATCCAGAAAGATCAGAAGACGAAAGCATTTCATCGTCTGGAGTGGCTCTTTTGCGAGATCCTGAAACTTCTTTGGTTTGATCTTCATTATCTGACTGCTCATCAGCGCTGGCATTGTCCTCGTCATCTTCATTATCGTTTTCCAGGCCTTCCTCGTCATCGCTGCTGGATCGAAACTCTTCATCGTTCTCATCTTCCGCAAACAAAAGTGCCACTTCATCTTCCTCATCGGGCACAAAACGTTGCTTTTCCGAAACGTCGTCTTCCATAGCTATCAACTGCTTGAGCCTGGAGCCCGCATTTGCTCGGCGTGCGCGCAGGGTAGCGAGTCCTTCTTCGGCCATGTAAAGTTCAAGTTTGCAATTTCGCAATTTCGCGACTTTGAATTTCTCAACTCTTTATACATGAGACCAGTAACAGCCACCGCTGCTTTTTCTCGGCTCGCAAGACAGGTGCAGGGTCGAAGATGGGCATCGAAGCTCACCACCGCCAGCGAAGACGAATTAAAGCATTTTAATGCTCTCGCGTCCACTTGGTGGGATGTAAATGGTCCACAGCGGATCTTGCACAAGATGAACTTACTTCGAATGGACTTCATAGTGGACACGATACGAACCAATCTCCAATTGAATAGCAAAGATACTCCCGAGGAGGAGAGTATTTATATTCCGCCGTACAATTTGGACCTACTTCCTCGTCCTATACGATTGCGAATCGTTGATGAGCAGGAACTGAAAAGGGACGAGTTGCTAGATGAGAGCAAACTTCAAGTTCTCGACGTGGGATGTGGCGGGGGTATCTTGGCCGAGTCAATGGCCCGTCTCAAGTACGTAGACCATGTGAAAGGCATCGACTTGTCGCCAGATGTCATTGAAGCTGCGAAGCTCCATATGAAGAAAGATCCCATATTACGAGACCAGGGTAAAATTAGCTACGAATTACAGGCAATTGAAGATGTCAAAGACACGGAAAAGTACGATGTCATAACCATGTTCGAAATGTTGGAACACGTCAAGTATCCAGCCCAAGTGTTGAGTGCGGCCATGGATCATCTCGAGGTGGGCGGATGGCTTTTTCTCTCTACCATCAACCGTGATCCTATCAGTTGGTTCACTACCATTTTCATGGGAGAGCATATACTCCGTATTGTCCCTGTGGGCACCCACAATGTGGAAAAGTATATTAATGAGTATGAAATAAGTGATTGGGTCAAGACCAATAGACCCGACTTTGTCGTCACGGACAGCAAAGGATGTATATATTTGCCGGCGTACGGCTGGAAATTCACTGAGACAGCGCTGGTGGGCAACTACTTTATGGCAATCAGGCGTGTGAAGTAGAAATCTCCACCATTCATTTCATTCCACCAATTTACGTCATTACTTTAATCCACTCAATTGTTGCTCTGGTTCCCTTCTTTTCACCACTATTGTCACCTTTGTTCCCTTTTCCGCTCTCTTTGGAGTACTTATTCCCCTTTTTTTACTCCGCAATCTTCGTCTTCTCCTCCTCTTCGTCAATGAACGTGGGAAGGTTGTCCGCGGCTGGCGCTTCTTCACTCAAATAGCTGGGTATACCCTCAGTCATTTCAGCCTCGTAGTCCATCTCTTCTCCCAAGGCTTCAAGCTCAGCATCCAATTCTGATTCGCTGATATCGTCAGCCACATCTTGCGACATCAGAAGCGATTCCTGGAGCTCATTCGATTTGTCGATAAGATCCAACATTTCGTCCTGCAATGCTTCTATCTTATCGATGTCGATCTTGCCGTATGTCTTCTTCAATTGCTTGTTTGCTGCCTTCATGGCGTCCACCGTAATCATGGTATTCTTTAGGTTATCTGTCGTCATTTGTGCCTGGGTCATATTCCATGATTGGTTCTCAAGCTGGTCTCTTTGACTCTCAATTTGCTTTCTCTGTCGAAGGAGCTTGAGTGCCTTTTGTTTCAACGCCAGTTTCCCGGGTCCATCTCTCATTCGTGCCATTTTCTGTTGATAAGTGGAAAGTTCAGAGTTGATTTTGGTGAGTTTAACGTCAAGTGAGCCCACTCTATCTGAGATATTGCTTACAGCGTCATCTAGGGACGGTTTTGGTGCGGTGTTTTTGGCTCCAAATAGTCTGTTCATGGTGTGGCAAGAGTTTGTGATGAAGACAGGAAGTAAAGATAAACCGCACAATAAGCCAAAGGTGTGCGAGCAACGTCTTACTCCCGCACGTTCGGTTTCGACCAGCGGATGCTTCACTAGCTCAGTTGGCAGAGCGTCAGTCTCATAGTTCGCGTTCGCGCGCTGTGAAATCTGAAGGTCGACAGTTCGAACCTGCCGTGGAGCATTCTTTTTTTGCTTTTTTTAATTTGATAATGCCTGAAGTCGCTGAAGTATGTACCACCAACTACAGTAGCACAATAAGCCTTTCTAACACAGGTTGCTCACGTTGTGGCTCTTTTACGACGCAATGTCTTGGGGTGTAAGATTTCTAGTGTGATTTTGAAAAATGATCCGTTGCTTTTTCCTGCTTTGAAAACAGCTGTGGATGCTGAAAATGAGGTGGAAACAATGAAAAACACCCTTTTGGATTCCCGGATCGACTCTGTGGGCAGACATGGCAAGTATTTCTGGATGCGATTGAACTTGGCCAATGGACCTGATTTGGCCAAAGCTCCTAGTGGAGTCCTTTTGATGCATTTTGGAATGACCGGAATGATCAAGTTACGCAATATCGACTCTCATTTGACTTTTATGGAGAATGGAGGCGACAAAAAGGTTCTAGAAAAAATGAAGGTTGCGGTCAAGCAAGAAACTACGGAAACAGTTACGGTTCCGAAAGACGATAAGGATACGAAAGACGATGTAAAAGATGAAGAATGGCCGCCCAAATTCGTCAAGTTTGAAATGGATCTCGAGAGAGAAAATGGAGAGGTGATTGAATTGGCATTCGTGGACCCTCGGCGACTTGGACGAGTGAGACTTTTAACAGGAGAAACGGTTCAAAGTGACGAACTATTGATGGAAGAGGCTCCTCTCAAATCTTTAGGTCCTGATTATTCCAAGCTGGCAGAGGGAAAAACCACGGATAAATTTGTGTATGGAGATCCTGATCCTCACCATCATGGTAGACCACGGCTTCTGTTACAAGAATTTAACGATTTGGTTTTACTAAAGAAAAAACCCATCAAAAGCATGCTTTTGGAGCAAGAATTATTCTCTGGAGTCGGCAACTGGGTAGCAGATGAGATCATCTACCATGCTCGGCTTCATCCCAACGAGGTAATTTCCAGTAAAATATCTAATGATGGAAATGTGAGCCAGGTTATTAAGGAACTTTACAATGCTCTCATATATGTTTGTGAGTATTGTGTCTCTGTGGAGGGAGAAGTGACGCAATTTCCAGACAATTGGCTCATGCCATATCGATGGGGAAAGGGCAGAAAACAAGAAAAGAGCAAAACAAAAGAAGGCTACCAAGTTGACCATGTAACCGTTGGTGGAAGGACATCGTGTTTTGTGCCCGAGTTGCAAAAAATGCTAAAGAATCAAAAGACGGAAGACAAAGAGAAAGAAAAAGTCAAAAAAGTGAAAAAGAAAGCGGAAGACGGTGAGACAAAAGTTAAGAAAGACAATGAGACGAAAGCTGAAGACGATGGTGAGAGTACGCGAACCAAAAGGCTTGCTTCAGGTGCGGCTGGAGGGCTGCGAAAAAAAAAATCCACGAAATGATAAGGCTACGATAATTATGTCAGTGCGATCTCTGACTAGCTCAAAAATTCACAAACAATCTCCCCCACTCATGCCCCCACCCTTTTATTGAACCCTCTTGCGCCCTCCTTGCACCGTCTCTCTCCCCAACGCCGTACACCCCACTATTGCGTTGGGTGGACTGACGCCTGCACCCCTCCCGCGTTCCGAAATTCTCCGACCCATCGCGGAGTCGGAGATGGAACCGGACTTTCGGCGCCGGAAAAATTCAGATCCAAAAGCCAAGCACACCAACCTACTCTAAAGTTTTGACATTCTAGTAATCACCTCCACACTCTATAAATTGTACACTTACCTGTCCAGCAATTACTCCTCTACAATTGCCATATTGAGCCACCGCCGATTCCGCTCCCCTCACCTTCCGATCGCGGCAACGCCCCGCTACTGGTCCCGATTCTTACCGCGGACATATGCACGAAGCAACACCATATTAATTGATCTCGTTTGCAGCATTTCCAGAAAATTTATTAGCCACAGGTGTCGTGGTTTTAGTACATCCTTTTTCAGCCCCATTCCGCTGGCCCGCTCAGCCGCATTTCCCGATAGCCGATTTCTTCAATCTTGCTTTCCACATCGGTTTCCAAATCGGTTCCTTTCTTTGCAATCATGCTTCGTAACTTCAGGTTTCTTTCTAGTCTGGCCAAGAAGGCGGCAGCTAATGCCGAGCACCAGTCTGTGCACACACATACCATCAAAACCCCAGTGGGAATAAGAGCTGCTATAGAATCTCTTAAACCCAAGACTACCCGTTTGTCAATTGAAGGGGCCATTGAATGTGATCTCGAAGGGTTTCAAATTCTTAACTCTCCAATTTTCAACAAGGGTTCAGCGTTCACCAGACAAGAACGTGAGGCATTCAAATTGACGGGTTTATTACCTTCCCAGGTCAATACCCTTGAGGAACAAGTGGGGAGAGCATATGCCCAATTTTCCTACTTGAAAACACCATTAGCCAAAAATGACTTTTTGGTGTCGATGAGAATGCAGAATAAGGTTCTTTACTATGAATTGGTCAGAAAACACATTCGTGAAATGTTACCCATCATCTACACTCCCACTGAAGGAGATGCCATTGCCGCATACTCCCATCGGTTCCGTAAACCTGAAGGATGTTTCTTAGATATCAATGATCCTGATAGCATTCCTCAGCGTCTTGCGTCCTACGGAGAAGACAAAGATATCGACTACATTGTCGTTTCTGATGGAGAGGGCATCTTGGGTATCGGAGACCAAGGTGTGGGTGGTGTAAGAATTGCAATTGCAAAATTGGGACTTATGACATTATGTGGAGGTATTCATCCTGGTAGAACTTTGCCAGTTGTGTTGGATACGGGAACTAATAACGAAAAACTTCTTTCTGACGACTTGTACATGGGCAACAAGTTTCCAAGAGTCCGTGGTGAACAATACTGGGACTTTATCGACAAGTTCATCACCGCAGTCAAAGAACGGTTTCCTAGCGCAGTACTCCATTACGAAGACTTTGGTGTCTCCACTGGACGTACAATGTTACACAAATATCGCCAAGCAATTCCTTCCTTCAATGACGATATCCAGGGTACCGGAGCTGTGGTTATGGCCTCGATGACTGCAGCATTGAAATTCACAAATCGTAATCTTCTTGACTCCAAAGTGTTGATTTACGGAGCAGGTTCCGCAGGGTTGGGAATTGCAGATCAAATCGTTAACCATATGCGCAGCCATGGTGCTACCACAGAAGAAGCATGCAAGTCCATCCACTGTATGGACAGAAGAGGTTTGATTTTGAAATCTTATGATGATTCTACCGAGGGCCAGAAACGCTATGCTGATGACGATGCCGACTGGGAGGGTATCGATACAAAGAATTTGGTGGAAGTGATCAAAAAGATTAAACCTACGGCCCTTGTGGGATGTTCCACACAACCGGGAGCTTTCACTGAAGAAGTGGTGAGAGCCATGTACGAGCACAATAAGCAACCAATCATTTTCCCCTTGTCAAACCCTACTCGTTTGCACGAGGCTATCCCAGAGGACTTGATGAAATGGACTGATAACAATGCATTGATTGCAACCGGATCACCCTTCCAACCTGTCAATGGATATGTCATTTCCGAGAACAATAATTGCTTCACATTCCCTGGAATTGGTTTGGGAGCAGTTTTGTCCAGATGTTCCACCATTTCCGACTCCATGATTTCTGCTGCCGTTGACCAACTTGCATCGTTGTCTCCCAAGATGGAGAATCCTAAAAACGGATTGCTTCCCAGATTGGAAGAAATTGACGAGGTGAGCGCTAAGGTAGCTACTGCTTTCATCTTACAATCCTTAGAAGAAGGTACCTCCAGAGTAGAAAGCGAAAAGAGACCAGACGGAGGAATGGTCCATGTACCTCGAGACTTCAATGAGTGTTTAAAGTGGGTTCAATCACAAATGTGGAGACCCATTTACAGACCGCTTGTTAAAGTTGAGCATGTCCCCGAGATCCACACTTTCCAACACTAATCTTATAGAGCTAGACTGATACTATCTATTCAATTATATCGTTCAAGAACTTTGCAATACGTACGATTCCAAAATGCTTATCGCTCACATCACGAAAGCTCAATTTTCCACCTTCTGATTCAATTGAATTGATAGTGAACAAAATCTCGGTTTCCATAAGCACACTGGCTTCGTGAATTCCCCAGGGCTCGACATAAACCTCAGCAAGACAGTGGTTCACGTCACTAATTCGATGAAAGTGGTGAATTTCTGGATCAAAATTGCCAGTAGAATAACCATATTTCACAGAGGAATATGACGGTACGTCCAACACCTTTTCTGCCCATTTCAAATCTTCGTCTCTAAAACTCTCGTCTTCTCCACAAATCAAGAAAACACTATGGTCGGAGTCGGTATAACACTCAATGTCCCAATCTTCTTTCTTAATGGGATCTTTTCCTGGGCAATAAAGAATATCATTTTTTTCACATGCAAAAGAATCTTTGAATTTGTCGCCTTTAAACGAGTGAAACTTGATCATATCATACTTGTAGTTCTGGTAATAGGATCGAGAAGGTTTCCAGTTCTCGTCACCAGGACTCATGTCCAACCAAGGACTGATAAGAATCAATGATTTGGGACGAAGAATATGGCGACTTGCAACCTTATCCAAATACTGAGTGTAACCAACAGCCAAGTTTCCACCAGCAGAATCTCCACAAAGAAACAAATTCTTGTTCCCTTCCAGGACTAATTTGGTGTAGGTTTCGTGCAATTGACCCATTTGGTGGGGAATCTTGAACCCTTTGGAAGTCAACTTGTAGTCGAGAAATAGAATTGAAAGTTTCGATTGAACGTCTTTGTCAAGAAGTTTGTAAACCGCCACAATGGAAGCAGGTTGAGTTGGAACAGTCTGCAATAAATATGCACCACCGTGGATATAAATCATAATTGGGTCTGTTGGCTTCCGGTGAGGTTGCTTGACGAGCCAGATGGAATTGGCATCGTAACGAGCACCATAACCAGGAAGTGTCTCCTTTCTAATTTTGAATCGTCCTGGAAGAATTTTGTTGATAATATAGGCGTTGCTGAGAGCAGGAATATATTTGTAGT